GCTCTGAAAGGGCCCAGGGCCTGATCTGAAACTGACAGGAGAACCTCGGCAAGCTTGCTGATCAGACTGCCGTAGTTCCTGAAATTAGTTGAAACATCTGCATCAGCACTAATTTGCGCGCCTTACGGCCATTCCGTCCATACCAATCTATTTGACATTTGTCCCTGATACGGCCAGCATGCCTTCCATGGACAACCACAACAATGTCTATCATTGTCACCGGCAGCAGTAGTATAATGATCACGTACAGTGGGCAAATTATTTTTGCACATTCAGAAAAGCTCGTTTGGTGCGATAAAGTCTGTGCAGCATCTACCAGGCTAGAGCGTGATGTAAGGGCTGCAAAATCATTGCCTAGTGCAACCGATGTCAAGCAACCAGCATTCGGTTGTCAATTTTGTATACTCACCGACCGCAGCAGCCGATGAGTACCCAGGCCTGCCTGTCAGAACACGCCTGCTGCGTGTGCTTCCCTGGCTGTCCCTCGCAAACCTCTCCAGTCACAAACACATTGGTGCATTTTCCTAGATTTGCTATTAGTGGGTATGGCCCATGCTACTATTCGAAGTATTCATCTGCTACCTGATTTACAAATCTGTCCTGGGGTGGGAGCAGAAACAGAACAAGGTCAGCAATGTTTAGTACGAAATGGTGCAGTGCAAGATGGGCCACGAACTTGGGTTGATGTCATGGAGACACGCGATTTGAGAAGGGTTCGGCTACTGTGTATGAGCCGATGCGATGAATAGAATACCAGCAAGTCCGATATCAGCCATGAGCAACTTGCCCGCTTGCGCATCATCTGATGGTAGGTAGAATCTTTAGATGACATTTGAGCGTGGGGCTTGGCGTGCGTTGCTCGTCCACCTTACAGCATCCTGCAATCATACAGGAACAAGGGACCTCATCCAGTGATGGTAATGGTTGCAGCGGGTCATGCACGAGACGACCAAAGGGATGCGGGCGGGCAGGATGCACGAGGCAAGTGTGCGGATGTGCACTCTGACCTTCTTGCCTCTCTGCCTGGACCAGACGGGGTATCCAGAAGCCCACAGTGCAGTCCACACATGCGCATGCCTGTGTCCGCCAGAGGCTAAAGTAATGCGCATGACAGGACAAAGACATTAGTGCGTGATCGGAACGGATGACAGCAAGCGGGCAATAAGACAATGTGGGCAGCAGTGAGGGCAGGGGCACCCCTCTATCCGCGTATCGCAGATAGGGCCCAGGGATGATGGAGGCACAGAACAGCGTAACCGTATCTATGCGCTAGTCCCCTGCTGTGCCATGCTGTGCGACGTGCAAGCGCATTGGTGTCCCCACCTTTTTGCATGCTGTCTCAAGTGCGGGCTCAATGGTCATGGATGTGAGTCGGGTGGTGGTGATGAACATCCGCGATAGAGGCAAACGTACAGAAGATTCTACCTCCATCGTGCTTCAAGCCCCAGCCATCCCTCGCTGACCTCTCCAGTCTCAACGCAAACCATTCGGGAGTGTCTTGTGCATTGCTTAGGCATGTCCGTGACATCGCTCTGCCGTCATTGATGGTATTGCCCTTGATCTACAACAGGCGCCAGGCGCCAGGCGTTGAAAGTTGATGCGCGCGTTTCAATGTGCGTACGCTAGGAACGGGGGGTTAAGTCTGACAATTTGCATTTCCATGAAGCGGCGTACCCATCTATGTATTGGGGTTTGCTCGCAATGCGCATTGCTTCTCGACAGCGCGCATCTTGCCATGGGGCAAATAGCTACACGATGGGCACCGCCCGCAATGACGGCCAAGTGGCGTCAGGCCGTGCCCACCACCTCGCGCACACCAGGTGGGGCGGGCGCACAACCCCTCGCTGACCCGTCCAGCTAGTGCCATAATGCAAATGCATTTGCCAAGTAGGAATACGTTACAGGGCGCACACTTGCTGATGCGAGTGCGAAGCGATCGCTTGTTTCAAGATCCGCGGCTTGCACTTGATATTGGAAACTTTTGGATGCGTGAGCCGGGAGACTCCTGGACCGGAACGATCTGTGGGGAGAGATCATCATACAGCGCGTAATGGATACCAAAGTCTTTGAGCGCGTGCACATGCTGCCAACGGGTGTGTGACTCTTGAGTCGGCTGTTGCAAGATGGGGTGGTGGCTGAGTGCATAAATAGGAGCGCAATGTGAGAAAGAGAGCACTGACCTCTGTCGTTTGCCACTCGCTCCTCCAGCTTGAAGCCCTCGCACTGAGTGAGTGGTGCATGAAAACCGTTGGCTGTGATGACTCACCGATGCTTAGAGACAGGGAACTGAGCGAGGCTGACGAGGAGGGGTGCAGACAGACAGTGGGCAGGCGTGCGGGACATGGAAGTACTAAGAATCGACGGCCAGCCGGGGAGACGAGAATGGCAGGAGCAACGCGTCGAGGAGGAGGGCCTGAGAGAACGTTTGCCTTGGGCAGCGCAGCCAATGAGAAGGCTGGGCGGCAAGTGGCGGCCCACGGTGTCAGATACGACGACGCGATGCGATGTGCTCGTGTGGGTGCATGCCTTCCGCAGAAGGACACTCTGGCTACACCGGCAGCCTTCTTTGTGCACTACCTCAGCCGTTCCGCGCATGCTTTGCACCGGGCATCGGACGGTCGGCACGCGGCAGAAGACGGGAAGTGGAGCGATAGTGAGTCTTGGACATTGCGCACTGAGACTATCGAACTGACGCACGGTTTGCTGACTGGCCTGGAACGCTGCTCAGGATGTGAGTGTACACCCGATGCTGTACAATGCTGCGCTGGATGATTGTTCCAGGTGATGCCGTAAGTTGTCATATCACTGTTCGTTCATGCTAATAACGTCTCTCGTCTTGCTTTCGGATGTAGCAGCATCGCAAAGGGCTCCCAGCACGGGAGGACAGAAAATGGAACCAAGAGCCCACTCCCTCCGCACCCCACAGCGGCCCGCGCAAGCCACGCCCAGCCCGCGTTCGACGAGCGCGCGCGTCACAGATGGGAGCCAGAGATGCGGCTGGCACAACTGGAATCGGACAGAAGAAGGCCCGAGCCAGTTCTTCCCCGAACGCAAACCCACGCGCGGGGCGTGTGGCATGCAGCGTTCCTGCTTGGACCTGTGCTTGTCTCTGCGTCCCTGTCTTTGTCACGCACGCCCTCGCTGTCTGAAACCCATCAACTCGAATCCGACAAGCCCTTCCGAGTCCGGGGCGGCGCGGCTCGCGGGACGCCAGTGCTCTGCGCGCCCATGCGTATGGTTGGGATGTGATCCGTCGAGAGACCTGCAAGCCCATCTCCGATGTGCGGTCATGGCTGCGATCGCGGGAGGGGGTGCCTAACGACGAGGTGCTAGTCACGACGGAATTGACCCCAAAAGACGTGTCCGGCTGTCCATGGTGATTTCATCCGGAGAGAGAACGAGTTCCAATCGATCTTTGCGGTAACAGACGGAGGGGAGATTGCCGAGAACGTCGTAGTCCGCTTGGTGATCGAGCTGGTGGAGCAAACTGCATAGTGCGGGCTGGGGTCGCTCTGGCCAGCGCCAGGGCTTTGACGTGATTAGCTTTTTCGCGTCTTCCATTCCCGCCCATCCGCAAGATGCCGACACGCCTTGGCATGGCCGCGTCACCACTGCATTCTGGCGCGGTGGACGCTCCCGGTGAGTTGGCAGGTCCGTCCGACAGGCATCCCTTTGGCCAGTGCAGTAGTACGGTAGTACCGGTCTGTCCAGCGGGCGCGCCGCGAGTTGCGCCACAGACAGCGCGTTGAGGGCGTTGTTTGACCCACGTCCCGGACGAGTTGCGGCGCGCGGCGACAACCGCACGGGCCCGCACGACTCCTGGGCAGTATGCATCATCAGCCTGCCAATTTGCCTCAAGGCAGCGAGGGGCAGGGCGTGCCAATCAGCGTTGGAGGGGGGTGAATAATGAATTCAAACATGCTAGCTCGCGCCACGGTGTCAGCATGGCTGTCAGGATGCTATTCGGACCGGGCGACCTCCGCCCCTCGTCGATCCAGTCCCCTCGTCGAAGTTCATGCAAACTTCTGCCACCACAACATATTCATTCTACCCCTTGGCCTAGCCTGCGATAGCGCTATGAGCTCAGGGCGGGGTGGAGAGGGGGCCTGTGCGCACCATGGCGACAGTGGCGGACGCTAGGAGGTCACTGGGGCCTCCAGGGGAGCTACCCCCCGCACGAGATCCGTGTCTCACGAACATAATACACCAGCTGATACAGTGGATGATAACGCAGACCACACCAGTCGCACAAGCG